TTGGCTGCACTACTCACCAAATGTGCAAAACTAGAATGAATCTTCTGCAGAACGTGGAATAATACGCCGCCATATGTTTTGTCTTTTTTTTCTCGTTTTTCTTTAGTTTTGTTTTTCTTTTAGGGCCACTGCACGTATTCCTAAGAAAAGAAAAAAAAGAAAAAAAGAAAAACGAGAAATAAGATAAACGAGAAAAAAGAAAAACAAAAGAAAAGAAAAACGAAAAAAAAAAAGACAGAACATATGGCGGCGTATTATTCCACGTTCTGCAGAAGATTGAGCCAGCACACCTCGTGTGCTAGCCCGTGGGCCCTTCCTGTGCGCAAGTGAGAATCCCCCGAGAATGAGCCCTCTTGGGCTTATAAAGTTTGCTGGTCCCACGGTACCAGCTCCCAACAGCCAGCTCTCACCCACTGTCGGCCGATCCGTGTCGGGAAGTTCGCAGCGCCCTCGTACCGTACCTATGCCCGAGCCTGTTTGAGCCCCGGAAAGGTCTTTGTCTAGGAGAGCCTTTTTGTCGGGAACCGGGCCTTTTGCAGCGCCCCGGTACCGGACCTATTTCCTAACTTGCCCCGGGCCTATCTCGTCCTTGGTGGTCCCCACTCATAAGTGGTACCAGCCCCCCTTGTGAAAGTCACGCAGGCCCGCCCAAAACTCTAGGCCGGGAGGTCCATTTCCGAGCCCTAGGCCCCCACCCTTCTCCTCTTAGTGTCGAGGCCCCCGCGTAGGCCCGATCCCACCGCTTGTTCACGCAGGGTGTTCTTGAGAATTCGGTTACTCGAGGCAACTTTGGACACCGCCGCCGCTTAAGACGTTCGTAGCCTCACGATAAACGCCCAACGCCTCCGTTCCCTCGACTATTCCGCCGACCTTTAGTATCATTCCGACATTTCGCGGTCGCGCCCCCTTGTCCGACCCCTCGGCAGTTGTCCGCGGTGGTAGCCTCTTTGCGTTCGTCGGTAGCTCACGTCTTAGGCTCTCTCCGCAAAGACACCGTTGTTCAACGCTCGAGCCCTACTCGAACTGAACGTTGTAGCCCGGCCACTCGTTCCGTCAACCTGTCGCGGCATTTTCCCATGGCCAGTGAGCCCCTGCCAGGTAGAAACCAACCATTGCGAACCTTGTTGCGCGCCCTTGTAAAGGAAGTAAAGGGCGGCGTAGGCCTGGAGCCGCCCGACACCGTCCACCAGCTGTTGCGCAGGATGGATAGGGGGGGGATGATGATGTCCGTCGTTTACGAGTGGAGTCAGCATGTGCTGCGGTTGATGAGGAGGGTCGACGTGCCGGCGGACATGATCGAGCCGTGCGTGCGTGAGGTTGCCATCCGCAACCTCCACATGCTAGAGCCCGCACATGTCGCGGCCCACGTCCTCAACCCTTGTCGACGGTCCCTCACGTATTACGAGTCGTTACAGACGACCGCCGACGACGCCCGTGTGGTCGAGAAGTGCGACAGATTTCTCCTGGCGCAGACCGGTGGCGATTCGGTCGGCTGACTGTACAGGACCGTGAGGGACCAGATGAGGTACTTCCACTCGAGGCGAGGAGATTGGGGAGATCGGTCCCTCTCCGATGCCGAGGCGGACGATTGCAGGGGGGACCGCGAGACCGAGCGTTGTGCGGCGTGGTGGTTTGACCATGGACGTGCCCACCCGGAGTTGCGCACCATCGCCATCCGTGTCATGCACTTGTGGACGTCTGCCTCTCCAACGGAGAGGAATTGGGCGCAGCACAAGCGCATCAACACGGCAAGGTGCGTCAAGCTTGGGTTTACCAAGCTTGCACAGCTGGTTGAGATTGTCACCAATCTCAAACTGGCCTCGTGCGCACGGCAGGGTGGTGGGTACATGTTGCCATGGGTTATAAGGACTGGTCGAGAGGGGACGGCTGCAGAGGACGAGGATGAGGAGGGAGACGTGGAGCCCGAGGTGTGGGGAGCGCGACCTGCTGGCAGTGTTCCCGAGCAGGACATCCAGCGGGAGATTGTCGCTTTCCATGACAACCGACCGTTCAGAGCCCATTCGGTTCAGGACGTGTTCGGCAAGAGGTCGACGGAGCTGCGACCGTGGCCGGAGGGTGGGGATGATGCGGATGCCGATGCGGGAGACGACGACATCGACGACCAGTGGACAGACGATGATGACGCGCCGCTGAGTGGCGACGCGACAACTGAGCGGGTGTACTTCACTTACGGTGGGGGACGTGCCGGCATGGCTTCGTTCACATCAGTTATCACTGGTGATGTGCCATCGACCGGACAGGCGGGTGGCAGCAGCAGAGCCGGCAGTCGTTGTGGAGGACGTTCGCATGTGGAGGTTGGCGTCGATGGCTCGGGGGAGCAGGAGCCACGGGGAGGCCTTCGGCAGACAGGCAGGCGTTGGGAGGTTAGGAGCGACAGCGAGGCCGAGGGGGAGGCCAAGAATGAGGAGGTGCCCCTTCGCGATCGTCGCTTCTCTCCCTCCCATCATCCGATCTCTGCACAGCCCGAGGCACTTAGGCGTTCAGAGAGGTTGGCGTCGACAGCAGGCAGAGACCGGACACATGACGGCGAGGATCGTGGGGGGGAGAGGACTCCTTCCGACGCCGTTTTGCGCCCCCGCTCGCCGTCGGAGCTCTGCACACACGACTTTGACGTCGGAGGACTTGGTGGGGGCTTGGGAGATTTCAATGTCAAGGGACGTCGACGTGCCTCACCGTCGAAGGTGCGCACCGACGAGGACGTTATGCGGGGCCGTGTTGAGACTGAGGAGGAGCGACATGCCCGTTTGGACCGAGAGGAGGAGGAGCGGCTGCGGAGTTTGCCACGATGGGAGGGTCGGTCCCCGTATCTCGAAGAGCAGCGTCGGCAGAGGGAGTTGGAGACAGGAGAGGGGGGAGGCCGTGACGCCGACGACTCGGGTGTCTCTGAGGAGGCAGCTCAGGGGGAGTTCGTTGATGAGGGACAGGATGCCGCCGCGGGTGGTGGGTCAGGTGGTGGACGACGCGGCGACAGGGAGACCGCGGGTGATGAGGGTCAGGATGTTGCCGTGGGCGGTGGGTCCCCTCGTGGAGGACGTGGTGACGGCGAGACCGCGGGTGATGAGGGACAGGGTGCTGTCGTGTGTGGCAGGGGAGAGGGTGGACCCGGTGAAGATGGGGATGCCGCGGGTGTTGGGGGAGACGATGGACCAAACGGAGATGATGACAACGACCACGGTCCCAAGGACGATGCGTATAGGCTCGCCTTGGTGTTGAGGGACCCCACAGTATCTGCCTTGCGCCCTGACGTCTTAGCGCACACTTTCTTCGACGTCGACACTTTTGAGCAAGCGTTGACGACTGACCCTTTCGCACACACGGTCCGCATGAGCGGCAAGAGGCGGGCCTCTGGAAGGGAATATTCACCGCCGCCGTTCGTGGTGCAGAGCCCTCGATGGTCGGGTTCGTCGCTCAGCGGCGTGAGAGGGAGGGAGTCCGGAGCGGGTGAGGTGGGGTACGGCAGACGCAGCGAGAGCGACAGAGATAGTGCAGGATCGATGCCTCCACCGCCCGCACGGGCTCCGGAGGCTGGCGTCGACGCCGAGGACCAGACGGCGGTACCCCGAGTTGCGCACAGTGGCAGTTCCCCGTCGATAGTCCGAGGTGGTGTGGGTGGCGGATGGTCAACTGTTCGTTGGGCCGGGGACCGGTTGCGGGAGGATTACGACGCCGGGAGGGACGTCTTCGCGGGACGTACAACAGTTCAAACCCAGGCTATGGAGGGTGGGTCCGGACGTCCGAGCCTGCAGATGGCAGGCTGCATGCTCGGGTTGTTACGAGTGGCGACGAGGAGATCATTGGTCCTCGAGGCCGGGGGGACATCCACGGACATGCTGCAGGGACAGCAGTACACATCGAGTAGGGAGGGGTTGTTGATGCGTCCCGGGACGAGACGACAGCGCGGCCTCTCAGAGGTTGAGGCTCGACTTGCGGCAGAGGTCGCCGCTGGCCAGGCAGCATTGGACGCGATTCAGAGGGAGAGAGAGAGGGGGATTGCTGCACGCGCGGCGGAGGACGAGGACGCAGACACAGAGTCCGAGCTGATCGAGACTGCGGCCCGCAGACACAGGGCACAGGTGGCCGCGGCAGCCGCTGCAGCACAGGCGGCATACCTCCGCGGGGCACAGGGCACAGGTGCCGGAGGGAGAGGAGGGCGCCGGGCAGGACCACATGGCCGCCCGTCCTCCGGGAGAGGCCGCGCGCGCTCTGGAGGGAGATGACGACGTCTGTGTTTTTTTTTTTTTTTCTTTAGTTGTTTTTTTTTGCATGGCTGGACGCTCTGTCGGCAGGGTTGTTCCATATTTATGTCGATGTTGTTCCATGGAGACGACGACAGTATGTGGACATTAGGGTTTCTTTTTTATTTTTTTTATTTTTCGTACTCGGTTGTACGGTAGAGACGACGGGTCCAGTTTTTGGCTTCAGCCTTGTACATATGCATTTCCATTGAAATGCTTTGTCATATATTTGCTCTTGTTTGTGTTCCTCTCCCAACCTTGGTTTTGCATCTGAGTCGTTGTTGTTTGGTGAGTGGTTTCTGGTTTGTTGTCGTGATTGTTGCAAATTATGTGCTTCTCCGATGCCACGCACCTGCATATCATGGATGCCTCCATTATGAATGTGTTGTTAATTTCGGATGCCAAATAGGGATGATGTGCTAATGAATGTGTTTTTACACAAAATTCCACCATTCTGATGAGTGAATACACACTATGACACACTTGCCTGTTAACATTGTTTGAAACTTATGGTTGGCCGCACTGTGATTGATTGTGAATGTGTTGTGACTTTGGTATGCCAACCAGGGTCTGACCTACAATTTCCATGAATGTGTTGTTTCAAAATATGTCACGAACTGTCGTCACCCTCACGAATGAAATCGACGCCTGCCTGAGGCCCTGATCTGCCTGGGGTCTGCCATCTGCAGCCCCGCCCAGCTTCGACCCGACCTGGCCGCACGGGCCGCCCCAACCAGGCCCTCATCCAACCCCCGTTGGGCCGCCCCCGCAGGGGTCAAATATTTTTATTTTATTTTTTTAGTGTTCCAGACCCTCTTCCCTGCGACCCCGCATCGACGAACCCGCACGTGGGGGACGCATGAATTTTCGCGGCCCACCCTTCCAGGGCCATGTGCAGGACCCCCCCATTTTTTATTTTTTTGACGCTCTGCCACTTTGAGGGGGTGCCCCCCCACCTCAAACCCGCTCCCCGCTTCGGAAACCACCCCCCAGATCGGCCGAGGCCGAGGCGGAAAAAACTCGGCCGGCCCGGCCGCGGCCGTGGGGGTCCCGGCCTAGGCCGCCGGCCGCGGCCTGGGCCGAACCCGGCCGCGGCCAGCGTGCAACATAGGTTGCAGGTACTGAGGCTAAGCAGAGATGCCTACCCCACTGGTCAGCCCTGGTTGAAGCAGACACCGTGCAAGCCTGATTGCACGGGGACTTCGGGAGCTAGGTTTGAACATGCTACTACAGGTCTTCATGAGGGTGCACAGTGACTCCCATCTAGCTTAGCTGTATGGTGATGATAGAGAGTTGGGTATCCTCCGTTCCCTTGTATGTCCCTGGAGCCCATTCTGGCCATGACACCCCCGACATCCTGTACTAAGGAACTGCTATGCCAGCCTCAACCCTATGCTACGTACTCGGAGGATAGCCAACCCTAGGTCATGAGTTATGGACTGAGTTTCTTTATTCTTATGTTGTCTTTTTACTACAGTGTACTATGATGTTGATGGTAGAGAGATGGGGATCCTCCGTTCCCTCGTGAGAGCAGACAATCCTCTGTTCCCTTGTATGTCCCTGGAGCCCGTTCCGGCCCTGCGGTAAAGTGCACTATCTCCTGACACTAACGACATCCCGTACTAAGGAACTGCTATGCCAGCCTCAATCCTTTGACCACGTACTAAGAGGATGACCAGCCCTAAGTTACAGTCTGGTATCGAACACAGGACCTTATGTGAATCATGCAAGTGACCTAACCTATTGACATACACTGTGAAATAGTCTGTAGCTGTGCTCTGCTGGGCTCGAGTAAACCAGACTATGCGAGCCACCCAGCAGTCTCATGACAACCCCGTAGACCAAGAACATCAAGATACCCACCATCGCCCAGTCCCCACATACAACAACCATGGACTACCCCTTGGGTGGTGCACAGGCAGTGTCTGTAATAACTTACCTGCGTCATCCCAAGGGGGTGTGTGTCCAGCCGTGCGTCATTCTAACGCCCTGCCGGTGTCCATGCGCAAGGCTGCCGAGTTTTGAACCCACAACTTCATACCACAATGCACCTGCCCAAGGCTAGGCGGAACTCAGACGAGCCGGAGCGACTTACATCCCTACCCTACCATAGAGCTAAGCCTTGTGTGAGTAGACCCCGTCATATACCTGATAGAACCCGGCCCCCCCGTAGTTGTGTGTATGTGTGTGTGCCCAGAGGTTATGTATGTTTTTGTGACCCCATAGGGCCATGCTTTTTCTGTGTGCCCAAAGGCTATGTGTGCTCTGTGTGTAACTGTATATTACCGAGATGTATGTGCCCGAAGGCCACGAAGGCCAGATAAGCCAGACTCGAACCCCTGATCTATGACATGTGGCCTGAAGACTCTACCATTGAGCAACAATGGCAAACGACCCCTGTGTGTGATATGCCCGCCTGTGGAGATCAACAGAACAACCAATGGCACAAGCAATCCACGCAGTGTCAAGACCCGACATACAACACCATGGACAACGGTTACCCTTGGGTGGTGAGCAGGCAGTGTCTGTATTTATTTTAGCTTACCATGTGTCAGCCCAAGGGGGTGTGCGGCAGCTATGTGGCCAGCTGTGCATCATTCTAACGCCCTGCCGGTGTCCATGCACGGGGCTAGACAAAATCAGGTTCTCCCGCTGGACAGTAACACGTTTTTTCACTTGTTTATTTACCGACCAATAGACGGAGCCTCTCCCAGGTGTTAGTGGTGTCTGCTCTTATCAGCAGCACTAACAC